CAAAATTGCCACCACGTCACTTTTAAGATCAGTTACCTTGTAACCGATCTTAAAACTCCGATTCTAAATCCAATTTTTGCACTAGTGTTTGTATTGTTTTATATGAAGGTTGTCATTGTGTGATAGTTAATTTTGATAAATTTTATGTTGATATATGTTGCATGATGTTTTAAGTTGTCTTATAGTTGAATGGGGATATATGAATTGTATGATGGATGATGTATGATGTATGATTATGTTGTTAAAGCAAAAAATGGTTTTATGAATGTTGCATAAGCTATGAAGTGCTATAAGTTTAATGGTGTAATTTGGTTGACGTGTAAGTTATAAGAATTGTATAATGCTAAGTTGTTGGAAATAATATTGTGATAAAATGATATGTTGACAATATAAATGGGTGTGCATTGATGTTGTATGTTATGATGTAAGTTTATATGATGTTATGTTGTTGGGTGGTTAAGATGTAAGTTAAATGATGTTTAAGTTGAAATGATGTACGATAATGAGTTACTAAGTTGTTCAGTTGTTAGGCATGTGATTATGATACATGTCTATGTTCATATATACAAAAAATAGAGGAGAGTTAAAGATGCTTTCAAACTTTAATATCTCATTGTGCTGATATACGTTGTGTTGAACCCTTTAGTAAGTAAGTTGGCTTCTGAATAGGTACATTATTTTTAGTTGTCTCCTCTAGGTTCAATGTGGTATTCGTATATGGATAATGTCAAGGCATACATGTATAGAGTGACCACATATAAGGGCAAGGTCAAGTTATTGATTACAAGTGACCAATTAAGTAAACTACGAAGTCAGGGACTTAATTCCTAATCGAGTGTTGGAGGGTTGTGGTAATTAATGGGCTAATCTCATAGAGGGTTTAGTGTTGCAAGCTAATGTCATGGTACATTCATACCCTATTCTACCTTGACATAGTACCATACTTCCTAGTTTAAGAGCAAATCCTAAGAAATTAATCTAACTTATGCTAGCCATTATTTCTAGCCTTCTACTAGTTGTTGTTTCTGGCCATAGTGTCAATCGCTATTTCTAGCCTTAATGTTAATCGTTATTTTTGGTCTTGTACCAATCGTTGTGATTTGATAGGGTCTAGTCATTTAAACTACCCATCTTAGTCGTAAGAGATCTTTATAGTTGAAATGCATGACGACACATTAGTTGTATACATACATATATATATATATATATATGTTGTTTTGTTAAATGTATTGAGGTGGATGATAGTCAAATGAGTGTTTGTGTTATTTTACGTTGTTTGTGGTGTGTTGATGACATAAATGTTCATGTTGTCTATTGATATCTATATGTGCATATTAAAAGTGGTTAAGTTGAAGGTGTAAAGATGTATAGGCTATTATGTGATAGTTGTGAGTGTGATGTTGTTTGATGATTATGTGTTATATGGTGTCTATAATGAAGTTGCTAAGTTGTACAAGTTGTTCGAGTTCTTTACGTTGTGTTGTAGAAGTATTATAGGGTGTATTAAAGGATGTAACTATGTAAGTTGTTTATGTTGAATTGTTATTTTATAACATTGTTTTTGTTTCACAAGCATACATTGTATTTCCCTTATGGTCTGAGACTGTTATGATCATATTTGGTATGAGAGCAAGATAAGATTACCTGACCAAGTTGTGTTGTTTTGTGGGAAGTCATGCTAGAGGTGACTCTATTTTGTATGGTGCTACCCCAAGGTAGTTTGGTCTTGTTCTAACATTTGACCGACGATTAGGTTTATTTTGTATACAATAATTACATCTTTTGCATGAAATATGTATATATGTTCATAAATAATTTTTTTTATTTCTTAGATATATGACTACTTGCATAAGATTATGATAGGGGTCGAGCTACTATTAACCTAAGAAAGAATAATTGTATAAAAAAACTGTTATAATTCTTCATTGCCTTTTCATCATAATACAAGTGAAATATATAGTGAATGTTAACCCTAAAAACATAAGGGCATCACACCCACTAAGAGACTTCGTGGAAAATAAAAGAAATTAAAATGAACATCTCAGTCCAAAAGCAATAAGAGAACACGTGGGCTAGTAGGCCCAATTAAACCTTGTAGTCCCTAAGCCAAAATGGGGGACGTCTGTCCTTAGCACTTCGAATTGGGCTTGTATCATTGCCCAACCCATGAAGCATGACTTCATCCTCGAAGTCCGTAAGAGACTCTAATGTGGCATTTGTGTTTGTTGGGAACGGTCCAGATGCGATCATAGGACGAGAGGCACGGATCGAGCCTTGATTCAATGACTGGGCTGAGATGGAGTGTTCTGGACGCATAGAAGTGGATCCTTGAAGTGGGAAGTCAGACAGATCAGGGTTATTAGTTGCATCACATGTGGGGGAAGATAAAGAGAGTTCGAGAGAGGCTTCTAGGGTTTCACCATGGAGAGTGGGCATTGCCTGTGGTGGTTCGCCGTGAAATCGTCTGAGAAGAGAAACGTGAAAGATAGGATGGTCCACTGTGGACAGAGGAAGGTCTAACTCGTACGCGATAGTGCCAATGCAACGCGTCACCTAGAAAGGACCTTGAAATCATCGACAAAGCTTCTACGATGTGGAGCGATCAAGGGATAACTGTCAATACGGCTGAAGGCGCACCAAAACCCAGTCATTGGGGTGAAATGTAATATCTTTATGAGACTTATTGGCTTGAGCAACCATTTGTTGACATGCATGATGAAGGTTATCTCAGATAACATGCATAATCATTTTCTTTTGTTGCAGAAGTGAGGCTACTAAAACAACCATGGTTGGCGACGACACAAAATTCGGAACAGCAGGTAGAGTGCAGCCATACAAAGCTTGGAAGGGGCGTTATACCCAAAGCTGAGTGAAGGGTGGTGTTGTACCAAAATTGGGCTAAGTGAAGGAAAAGGTACCAATGGCATAGAAAGTCCCAACAAAACAATGTAGATATGTTGTCAAAACTTGATTAACCATCTCTGTCTGGTCGTCAGTTTCCAGGTGGTAAGAGGAGGAAAAGAAAAGCTGAGTTTCGTGAAGGCGAAAAAGTTCATGCCAGAAAGAGCTAAGAAAAACCCTATCACAATCAGAGACGATGGTGCGCAGAAAATTGTGGAGGCAGACAATTTTTGTCATGAACTGGGAAGCCAGGAAGAGGCAGTGAAATGGGTAGGCAAGGCAATGAAGTGCGTGTATTTAGAAAGGTGGTCCACAACTACCCAAATGATCGTGTGGCCAATTGATGATGGTAGATGGGTAATGAAATCCATGCTAATATCATTCCAAACTTTGGTTGGTAATGGATGAGGTTGTAAAAAACCTTGTTTCTTGGATGTGACAGATTTATTATGTTGACAAGTGGAGCACGATCGAACAAAAGCCTTAATGTCCTTTGCCATAGCTGGCCAAGCAAATGAAGTTGCCAGACGAGCTAAGGTGGCTTTGACACCAAAATGACCAGCCATAGGTGATGCATGGAACTCATGCAAGATAGACAAGCGCAAGGAGGGAATCGTTGGAATGAAAAGGCAATTTTTGAAATAAACCAAGCCATGAGCAACCGTGAAATGGGGTGTGGCATTTGGATCGGAAG